GAGAATTTTCAACTCAGAAGAGTATTCCTCAGCACTTAACAAACAAATTAACAGGAAACAAACAACAACAAAACCCCACCAACATATTTCATCAAGTCATCTATACATTCCCCTGGAGTTCAGAATATTCTAGATTATTATGTTTGGCTATAACATTTACTCCATTATTGAAATGAGTAGCGAGTGAGAAAGCTATCCTTGCTTTCATATAGGACTTATCTTTCTTAATTTGGAGCCAAGGCTAATAAGGAAGCAAAGGTATCCTAACAAATTGACCAGAAAACAAGAACCTAATAGGTGTGCAATGACAGAGGACTAGGTAACTGGGGACAAGCAGAGTTGAAGTTTGAAAGGAAGCATATTGGAGGGCAGGTGAATGTTGGCAGAGGAAAGATGTCTTTGTTAGTTAAGTACACTTTGTTTCCATAGAAAAACTAGAGGAAGTAGGGAGATCAGCTCCACTGTGGTTCAGTCAAGTGTCATGGTATCCTGCAGCATTTGTCATTGTTATTGAGATGCCTCAGTAGGTCAAGTGACACAGTGGCCACTCTATTCTCACCCTCTCAGATTTGGGCATTATGCCCCACTCCTGTGACTTAGCCTGCTATCTCTTTGTGTCCACTTTGTCTTCACCACTGTCATAGAAAGGCTTTCTGCCAGACCAACTCATGGACCACCAGCTACTCATAGAGGGCTTTGACTCAGGAATCAACCCTACTCCAGTTGGCTGTGGCCAGGGTAGTAGGATCAAAAAATTAGGTGACCTTTCTGCAAAGATCCACATCTTACTCCTTTTCAAAAAGGGAACCCCAGGCACGGTAAGCACTTAGTATTTCATAGACACCTTTCCAGCATGAGACCTTACCAATAGAGGGGATTTGTCCCATTTAGGATTTACACCAGCTGTGCAGCCATGAAGATCCCAAATTGGGATGTTCTATTTATAACTAAAATACCCATGAGACATAACATAAACAGATTTTTTTCTTAAGATTCAACATCTCTAGCCCCTGGACAAAGGAAAAAAGAAAAGTGCTTTTCTCAACAAAACTCTTTTAAGTTGTATATTGGCCCCTATATATGACAAATCTTGGGCACCACTGCATCCTTTCAGCCCATCTTTTCACTCCAGACATTTACACAGCAACCAGATGTGCAAACTGACACCAGCACCTTCCTCAGTGGCCATTCCAATACATGGGCAAACCTGGAAGTTCAAGGAAGTTAATATTCCAGGGAACACTTTGGCCAATGAGGAATAAATACTCCTCTCTTTGGTCCTTCAGGTAATCTATTCTGAGATATATTCTGCACACTTCCTCAAAGAGTCCCCAGCAGAACTGAACCCTTATAGTCCACAGCAGTGGCCAGCTCAATAACAACACAGAATTGAGTTGGTTCTACCTCCTTCCCTGTTTCACTCTACCCAGTTCCACTTCTGCTCCCTGAGATCATCTCCCAGAGTGAACGGTTTGCATAAAAGCCCTTGTTTGAGACTCTGCCTTTTGTGGGGTACCTAGTCCAAGACAATCATGCCTTCCAATCAAGATATTCTCTCTTTAATCAAATAGTTCCTACGATCCAGGAAATATGTCTCATTCTTCAGCTTGTTGAATTAACGTTTAACTTTCAGACAGCAACAGTGTTTCCTTTTATTCCAAGTATTTTATAAGCATCTTCTCTTCACCTCAATATAGCTGGGTAGCTGAAAGAGGATGGAGGCAAATCAGCAGTCCTGTGAGAAAGGCTCAATGCTAGATCTCCAAGCCTTACTGATTTATTTATTGTAGAGATAGGTTCTTGCTATGTTACCCAGGCTGGTCTTAAACTCTTGACCTCAAATTATCCTCCCACCTTGGCCTCCCAAAGAGCTGGGATTATAAGCATGAGCCACAACATCCAGCCCTGATTGTATTTTCAAACCAGTGATTCTTAGCCCTTAGTTAAGATCTTCACAAAGGAGGTCTGTGAAGACGCTCACTGCCTACCAATCTGCTGTATTAAACTCTCTGTGTTTAGGCACAGGGTTTTTTCCAAAGCCCCTCTGCCCCAGTCATTCTGATATGCACCCAGTTGAAAACCATAGTTTTAAACCCATCAATCTACCCAAAAAAGAAACTGTATCCAACCAGTTATTGTTATCTTGACTAAAATATAGTCAAGTAGACAATTGATACTGTCAAAATGAGGAAAAATTAAAATTAGCTCTCTGCCAAAGAGCACAGAAACATTCGTTTGTTGAGTAGATTTAACAGGATTGTCAATCCAGAATTCAAGGAAAAATAAAAGGAAGCCATTAATTTATTTTTCAGAGACGCTATGATGGCTTAGGCACCATAGGAGATACAGAGGATGAACAGATGAATAGAAAATAGTCTCTGCTCTCAAGAATAGATAATAATAATACCAGTTCATTAAATGAAATATATAGAAATGATAAGTTTATTTTTTTGTCTTCCATGGTTCATGGTTTCCCCTTTCTTATGTTTGAAACCCTGGCAGGTCTATGACCCTACAGATCGCTCTTAAATAAGAGACAATTCTATGGGTTTTTTTAAGTCACAAACCACAGTCTTATTCAGTAATTTGGATGTCCAATACTGTGGAATAATCAAATCTCTGAACTTTATTTAGAGATCAATCTTTTCCCATCTTCCAGTTAGGACCGGCTTCAGGGGCAGTGGTGCCATTTTGCAGGGGCACGTGGTAAACTTTTCCTTTCCTTCTGTACACCTTGCATAGATAGCTTGCCAACTGTGAATTCTGGGACTCAATGGGTTGGGTGTGGAAAGGGAGGAGGGGGAGGGGTTTATTGAACATTCCTACTTGACTGGTCCTCTCATAAGACAGTTTTATATGATCCAGGCCTGGCTGTTATGAGAACTCTCTTGTGGGAAAACTTTTGGAGTTTTTATTTTTTTCCAGACACTCTCACTCTGGCCCTGACCTTGACTACCACAACACAGGCAATATCTCTCCTTTTGTTAGCCAACTTTGATCCCTGTTCAGCTTCTGTTTTCCAGCAATCTCTGGCAGCTCTTCACTCTCTAGTCCAAACTATTTTGAGCAGGATCCAGGGCTGCAGATTCTTCAGGACTATGTCAAACTCATCTTCCTGAAGCTCATCTCACTAGCCTTGGAACAAGAAGGTAGCCCCGTCCCTCCCCTTTGGGGTGTGTTAGACTCAAAGCATGGCAGCTCTTTCTGAAGAGATCTCTTCACAAATCTGTGCCTTCAAAAACCCCTCCCTAGTCTTTTTATATATCAAAACTGGTGAGTGGCTTCAACAACAACAACAACAAAAAACCCTGGCTTTTATGTTTTTCCTTTGAAGTTTTTCATTTTTGTCTACCTCAGGACTCACCTTGGTAACTAATATTTAATGTAACTTGGCACCTCAGTCAAATCATGTAATTTAACAGGATGGCACAATTGCAATATCATGTGGTAAGCCCAGGATAAGAGATCTTTGCCTCTGGCATTGTAAGAACAAAGAAAAAGGCTACCTCATTCAGTTGGACGGCGAGTGGTCCAGGAGATTCTTGGAGAAGGCAATTCCTTGATTCTTTCTTAATAGACTTTTGAGGAGGACTCTTTTGGAGGGGAGTATTATCAAGAAGAGACCCTATGCCAAGTACATTGCATTTTTAGACAGATTCAAAAAACAAAATGGCCAGGCGCAGTGGCTCATGCCTGTAATCCTAGCACTCTGGGAGGCCGAGGTGGGAGGATTGCTTGAGGTCGGGAATTCGAGACCAGCCTGAGCAAGAGCAAGACCCCTGTCTCTACTAAAAATAGAAAAAAATAGCTGGGCATGGTGGTGCATTGCTGTAGTCCCAGCTACTCAGGAGCCTGAAGCAGGAGAATCGCTTGAGCCCAGGAGTTGGAGGTTGCAGTGAGCTATGATGATGCCATGGCACTCTACCCAAGGCAACAGAGTGAGACTCTTGTCTCAAAAAAAAAAAAAGTTTACAAAGAAATTCTTAGTAGGTTCTTTAATTTTCCCATTTAGTCTCTGTCCTCCAAAGTTCATGTGTTGGAAACTTGATCCCCAGTACTGTAACATTGGGAGGTGGGACCCAATGCGAGGTGTTTGGGTCATGAGGGTACTGCCTCCTTGAGTGGATTAATGCCATTATTAAGTCGGTTCCTGATAAAAGAGTGAGTTTGGTCTCCTGTTCCTCTCTCACCCATGCGATGCCTTTTGCTATAGTAAGACACACCAAGGCCTTCACCAGATACCAGTGTCTTGATTTTGGACTTCCTAGTATCCAGAGTCATGAGCAAATAAACTTCTGTTCATTATAAACTGCCCATTCTGTGGTATTTTGTTATAGTAGCAGAAAACAGACTATCTTAACACTCTCTGAATTTCCTATAAATTCACACATGTAAATAACACTGTAAAATCAGAAATTATATATTATTAATCATCCTGAGGGATTTCTTAAATTTAACATATGCTAAGATTAATAAGCTTCATCTTCTAAAGGAGAGTTTGAGAATGGCCATTTACAGATTTAAAATGCAACTCGATAAAAACTGACCTGGGAGTCAAGAAGTATGAATGCATTGAAATGATTATCTTATTTAAAAAGTACTTTAACTAGGATTCAATGGACTGTGAAACTGTAGTGTTAATGAGTGCACCCAGTGAAAAGCTTTGCACTGATAAGGAATATAAAAGGTTAACTGAAATGTTATAATTATCTTAATAGTTTAAGCATCTTTCTTATTAATAAGGCAATGATTTTGATAGGTTTTTTGGGGGGGTTGAAAGCAAAGAACTGAATCCTTTAGCATCCTTACCATGTCATTATAAATCACCAAGTGCTCACAATACACCACACATGATGGATCATACAATAAAAATGCACGCTCATCCAGGCTTCTAGGAAATTTTGGCTAAATGCTTTAAAGCCACAATGCCTAATACTGGATCTTGATTTGATCTGTCAAAAGCTTGAAAGTCGTTACCCAAAAAGAAAGGACAGCAGACATCAGCTCAACCAACTTTTATTTTTAATTACCCAAGGGTGTACTGATCTTTGTATTGGGACATAATGGAAGATACCAAAGGAAAAAAAAGACAAGATTCTTATCCTCAAAAAATTAAAATCAACTGGACACACACTGCACAAGACATAAGACCAAAGGATATTTACTGAGTAGCATTTGAGTAGTGTAAGACAGCTCAGCACAGAGTAAACCCACGCAAGGGGACACCACTATCTACTATGACAGGGAGTGGAGGGGGCATTTGGGGAATACATACTGGGAGGTAGAAAAGCATTGGACCTGTGTTCTAGTCCCCACGATACCAGTGGCTTATTATGGCCCTTGAGCATGTAAAGCTCCACCTCAGTAAACTTCAGTTTGCTCAACTCTAAAGCAAAAGGTGAGGACTAGATGGTCTCTACAGTCTTCCAGCTATAACAAAACAGGATTCTAAAAACTAATGCAGAAAACTGGAGGAAGTGAGGATATTACAGGAAAGTGAAAGTATAAGCACAAAGCCACAGAGACAGGAAACAACTAGCTGCTTGTGCATGGCAAGGTGTGTTGTAGGACAGCAAGGAACTTAAGCCTATTTAACTATTCTAAAGATTGTCAGGGCAATAAACTTAGAAATTGGTGAAACAGAGTACTAAGCCAAGTAAAGGATCCTAACCTTGGTCCACAGTGGAGAAAGAGAGAATGTGCTTCCTGCAGTCAGAATCGGACTTAACTTTGTGCTCCCCACCTCACTCCACATTCTTTATGTCTTCGTGGAACTTTATTGCAACTCCTTCCCCAAACCCACACCCCCAATACAGTAAGAGGGTGTGGTTACAGACACCCTCTGCCTAGATTCGCACAAGCAGCCCCCTTTTGTGCGCCAGGAAGCTGAGAGCCACTGCTGAAAAGATGGTGGTCAATCCAATGAGCTTCAGCAGGCCTGGCACGGAGGGCAAATGTCTCTCCAAGAAGGTCGTAGTGATGGGTTGCGCAGGGACATCCTGGGTTCAGAGAACAGTTGGCATTAGTACAGGGCTTGTACACTTCATTCCAAAAAGTCTGAATTTCCTCCAGCTCTCTGAACGTGACCCACTCTTGCCAATCTCTAGGCAATTAACCATGACATCACCACTTCTCATAACGCTCATCACCTCTTCCCCACTGGGCGCTTTACTTCACTTCCTTAGGGAGCCTTTCCTGAGTCCCCAGCCTAGGCTGGCCCCCTCTTTTTACATTTTCTATCAGCATGTCTTCTTCATGGTACTTGTACCTTTTGGTTATAATCTGCATTCTCCACCAGATGTGGAGGTCCATGAAAGTGTTGCTGTTCCTTTACCACAATGGCTAATGCAGAACCCATGTGTCATAAAGTTTTGTTGGGTGAATGAATCGATGGCCCCTGTAGCCCACAATCTCATCTTTAGTGGAAGCACTGGGAGAATGATTTTAGAGTGGCCAAGTCTATTCTCTTTGACTTCCCATTTAAAAGGACAGAGGAATAACTTCAACCTTTTTGACCTTGCCCTCTACATTGTGTTTTCACTCTATCCTTTAGGTATCCTTCCTTCCAGCCAAGAAAACTTCCTGGGGTTTTATTACAAAATGATAAGTATATTAAAAATGAATTTTTAGTCTAAATATGCTCCCTTTCATTCCAACACTTTGCCCTTGGACAGAGGATGCTAACACACTTTCCTTTCCTACCTCTTGCTAAGAATCACCAGGTTAGATATTTATTCAACAGGCATTTACTGAGTTCTTAATATGTCTTGAACTCTCTGAGAAATGTTTCCCCCTCCATCAAAAAATATTTTTTTCTAATAATCTGCAATGGATGTGGCAGCTACAAAGTTTTCAAAGTTTGTCTAAATCTCTCACTCCCGCCTTAAATCATGATAACTATTTAAACATTCATGGGTTGGATCACTTAGGGAAAGGTATGTGAATATACACAGATATGCTCTTCTTGCAAATAATTGTTTTTAGAGGAAAGAGATCTAAATTCATGAAATGAAATAAAATATAGCCTACCACAGACTCTGGTTCTGACTGCCAGATTTCATCCTCTGGAATCTTTCCTATGGCATGCAGGACCTGAAATGAAAGAGTATCTTGGTAAATAGCAGAATTGATACCATCTTTCTCCTACTCTGCTCTCTAAATAAAAGACACAGTGACTATCTCTTTACTTTGGAGTATCCATGAAAAACACCAACATAAAGGCCAGAGCAGTCCACTCAACCTTTAAAAAGCTCCAAAAGTTCTTTCACATATGGTATAAGAGGTTCCAACCACAGGCTCACTATAAATTTTAATAGCTGTGAACATGGCTTAACAGGGACGAGATCAGGGAAATTGTCAGGAAATCTTTCCTATGAAACGAATGAATGAATGAATGAATGAATGAATGAATTCTGAGTCCTAATAGAAACATGTTTGCTTCTATAATATAAGATGTAGGTAACTCTCAAGTATACCCATAGTCATTTTTTGCTCCATGGGCTCTTTTTACCTTGGGTGACATGTTAGATATTTTCATTACTACTTTTGAGTTAAGGTATTCACCTGAGACTGCTGTTAAAATGGCATTTCATGGGTCTCCCAGATGGGGGTTACTGAGGAGTTGGTCTCTAGGATCTCAGACATCTTTGATCTGCATGTCAAGCCCATCAGCTGCCTTTTTCCCCAGAGCCCGTGACCCCAAGCCCTACCTCTCGGGCCGCTCTCTCTCCAGCCTCCACAGCGCCCTCCATGTAGCCACTCCAGTGTGTGGCAGTCTCAGTGCCTGCGAAATAAATTCTGCCCACTGGCTGGCGTAGTACCCTTGAAACAAAAGCAAAGAGGTAAAAGTAGTCAGTCTCAGAGAGCCAAAGACGAGCTTTCCCACAAAGACCAAGGCTGGTCACTTTCCTCAGCTTCTAAACATCAAGAAGGACCTTGACAATTTTGGAATAATGTTCATTAGGTCCTCCAGCTCTTGCATGATCCCTGAAACAGTTAAAATGGAGTAAAAACCAAAGTCCACTCTTGTACCATGAGCTTACAGGTTAAAAAAAATAAAAAAATAAAAAAACCCTGACATCAATGGAGGTAAAATATGTATTTGCTTCATCTACATGAAATGAGAGACTATATGAGTCCAGTTATTTATGAGTATGTATGGCTCCTTTTACAGATTACCAGTTCTGGTCAAGATGACATGTGCCCCCAATTCCCTACCTGGTTATTCTACCAATGAACTTGACAAATCATTTCCTCTCACTGAGCTCTGGTTTCTCCATCTCTTAAATGGGATCATCCACTGACTTCTACAACCTTTTCCATCAGTAACACATCTAACAAATCTGTGAGTCTGAATATGGCTCCATAACTACTAGTACCTACATTGAGTTTTACTGCCTTAAGTTATGACAGTTAACATTTGTTGGGTGCCAAGTACTCTTCTAAATGCATTAATCCTCACCACAACTTTGTGAGGTGACTACTATTATTATTCCCATTTTCCTGGTGAGACTATGGAGGTAGACTGTGGTAGACATTGTGATGCACCACCCGGATCTTCTTCAAGAATGGAAGACTTATTCCCAGCTGCTAAGAGTGCTGCTGGAAGATGGCCTTCTGCTGTCTGTCCTCTTTGGAGATTGCCTCCACTGAAGAAAACTACCTCACCCTAGGACATGCCTCTTCCCAGCAGCAATTGCATCCAGTGACTAATCACCATGGGCTATAAGGACCTGAGCTCCAAAAGCCCCAACTTGAGACCACTCTGAAGGGCCATTCTAATTCCAGAGCTCCCTGCGGGGTCAGCTGAGGTCTTCACTGGAACTGCATTGTAGCCCAACACTTCTCCCTCTGCCTACTCCTGCTTCCTTCTTGTCCCTTCCATAGGTGTCAATCCCAAGGGCACACTCTAATATATATCCCGTCTGCTAATCATTGTTTTAGAGTCTGCTTCCTGGAACCTAACCAGCAACAAAGACAAAGTAATTTGCTCTAGGTCACAAATAGGAAGTGGCAGAGCTGGTATTTGAACCCAGGCAATCTGACTCTAGAACTCACAGGCTTAACCACCTAGTTATACTTCTTCTCTCTACTGAATTATTTCTTCAATCTTTTTAAGAACTTTATGACACAGCTATTATTATCAATTTCTCATTTTACACATGAAAAAAGTGAAGCTCAGAGAAATGTACAGTGAGTGACTTGCCAAGAGCCACACTGCTACAAAATAGCACAGCCAGGATGTGAACCAGGTCTACCGGATGTCAGTCTCTGTTTTTATCCTAAATGCTTTGCCTGGTGTATCATCATCATTAGTTAGTAGATTACCAGTACCCACATGCTACACAAGAGACAGAAGTGTCATAGCACTTGGCCTGTAAGAGAAGCACTTTGTTGTTACTCCAACAAAAATACCATAAGGAATATACTATCAATGTGCCATTATTTATCATATCTCAGGTTTCTCCTATATCAGATAAGGGATATCAAGAGCTAACACCCATACTCCATCTTAGTCAACACTGTACACCTCTGAGCCTTTTATTAGAAAACCAAACAGGCTGGCCTGAATTGGTGGCTTTTCTTGATGATCCCAGTCATCAAGAAAAAAACAAGAAGAAAATATAAGAAAAGATATTATAGAATACAGATGATCACTGACTTATGATAAAAGTGATACACATTCAGTAGAAACTGAACTTAGAGTACCCATAAACAATTTTGTTTTTCACTTTCAGTACAATATTCAATAAATTACATGAGATATTCAACACTTTATTATAAAGCCAGCTTTCTGTTAGATGATTTTGCCCAACTGTAGGCTAATGTGTTTTTGAGCACATTTAAGGTAGGCTAGGCTAGGCTAAGATATGATGTTCGATAGGTTAGGTGCATTAAGTGCATTTTCAACTTACAATATTTTCAACTTAGGATGGGTTCATTGGGATGTAACCCCATCGTATGTCAAGAAGCATCTACATGAGTATACTGAGAAAGATAACGTGGAATAAATCTGGAATTATCAAGAGCCTAAGGGGATTGAGGAAGGGGTCCCCTGCAAGAGAAGCTGGATTTAACTTTCTCCATTTTTCACAGAGGAAACTATTCCAACTGGAGACCTCTGGGAGTTCTGGCTAAACCCTAGAGTGAAATATTAGAAGAGAGAACAAAGGCTTAGAGAACTAATCATGCTAACAATCAGAATGTAAAAATGTAAAAACCAAGAATTAATTTTAAGCAGACAAAGAAATAGTTTCCCTGCAATTGTCATCTTTCCTCCACTTGTGGAAATTGTCTTCCTACAGGGGGAAAAAAAAGGTCCAACAGCTAGATAAGAAAAATCCCTGCCCCCTTTCTTTTGTAGGTAAGTAGACAGTACATATTCACAAAGGGTATAGGATATCATAAAAGAGAGCTCCATGTATATTTCCTGTGGCTTATGCGTCTTTTTTTTTGGAGACAGAGTCTCGCTTTGTTGCCCAGGCTAGAGTGAGTGCCGTCGTGGCGTCAGCCTAGCTCACAGCAACCTCAAACTCCTGGGCTCAAGCGATCCTTCTGCCTCAGCCTCCCAAGTAGCTAGGACTACAGGCATGCACCACCATGCCCAACTAATTTTTTCTATATATATTAGTTGGCCAATTAATTTCTTTCTATTTATAGTAGAGACGGGGTCTCGCTCTTGCTCAGGCTGGTTTCGAACTCCTGACCTCAAGCAATTCGCCCGCCTCAACCTCCCAGTGTGCTAGGATTACAGGCGTAAGCCACCATGCCTGGCTGGCTTATGCGTCTTACGCATAATCACTACAATCAGTTCTTCACTCTACCCAGAAGAAAAATTCCTTAAGAAATGTGCATTTAGTTCTTTACTAAAGTTGTTCTACGAATTCTGTCCTTTCTCTTCCTTTTGGAGGCAGAACATTTACTATGTACTTCCAGGACCCTGAGGATGAAATTCCTTGCAGTAGCCCAAATGTCACGGCCCTGAGGACAGGCAGGCTGGGGGTCTACTCAGGCTGGGGGTTATGTCACTAAGCTACGCTGTGCCTTAGTTTCTACCCTACAAATTGATCGCAGTGATATGAAACCTCACATACGTCCTTGGGAAGGAATAAAGATGAAAGAAGATGTTACCATTTCATCATCAATGCCTGATAGGATGGGCTTTATCTTGCTTCTCTCATGTGGTGAGGATCAGGCCAGTGCACGTGAGTGTCACTTTTGCCCCCCACCCCAAAAGACATTTTCCTGACACTTTTTATGGGACTGAGCATAAAACCTGCCACTCTGTGGTTAGAAATCTAATCACATCATACTCTATTTAAGACAAAGCCAAAAAGAAAGCAATGCAATGATGGTTGTTCTCTGTTGAAAGATCAATATATGAGGTAAGGGATCCTTCCTAACTTTTCTGGTCTGATTCTCCATTTGTTCTTAATTATCACACGTAGCCAATCCATGTAGAGCTTTTCCTCAGATCTTCCAGGAACTTGTAGGATTCCAAGTATTTGCTCATATTATTTCTTCTGCTTGGACTACATCCCCCAATAGCCTTTCCTGCCTCCTACAACCCTCAGGTGCATTATGAACCGTTTCCAGATCTCTGTAGGTAAGGCTAGACTGTCCGTCCATGGTATTTCTATGACCTTCTATTAGAGCACTTCTCTCAGTACATTAAAGTCAATTTTTGATGTTGTGTCCTCTGCCCATCCCCACTCTGGCCCTCCACACTGTCAGCTCCTTCTCAGCAGAGAGGAATGTCCTAGGTACTGAAGTTTCTGGTAAAGTGCTTGGCAAATGGTTGGCACTTAACCATTAAAAGCTGAATGAAACAAATACTATTGACATATTCTACACTTACTATATCTGAAAATTAACTTAATGACCAGTGGCTTACCAGGTGGTGCCTTTGACCCCAGAGTGTTCTCCTGGATAATATTCTGCCATCTTCGGGAAGATAAGGAAAGTGCTAACCAAAGTCATTATGTATCTTCTGATAAGTGGGTTTTAATCTTTGTTCCACCAGTTTCCATGGACAGATTGACTAGCCGTTTCTATTTACTCAGATCCTGTTCATTGCATACTCTCAACAGACTTTCACTCACTATTCTACATTTCCTATTCTGTTTAGATTGAGCTCTTAGCATTAAATTATTCCTTGGTTTAGTAATACTATAATATTCATAAAAATTGCTGCTATATCATTAATTCATACCTTGTTATTGTCATATACAATTAGCTAAACATCATCGAGTCATACTAGGATGCACAATGCTGTGACTACTAAAAGCCATTGAACTGTGCACTTTCAATGGGTGAATTATATGGTATGTGAATTATATCTTGATAAGGATGTTAAAAAATAACCCATACTCTCACTAACATAACTGATTATTGCCCACTGTACACTATCTCGTGCTTTCTCAGCCACCTGCTAAGGAAAGTGAGGTTCCGTGACCTGTCCAAGATGACAAAGTTGGTTACTAGTAGAATTGGGACTGGAACCCAAGTCCCTTCACACCCAGTCTAGAACTCACTTTGCTTTTATAATGCTGTACCCATATTGGCACTCACCCAGTTGCATTTGGGATGTTTCACTGAGTTCTAAACTTCTGCTGACAATATAAGTGAACCCTCTGACTATCTTAAATCACTATTCTTATGCTGCTACTTTCTTTGGTTGTATCAACTGAGACTTCTCCACAAGAGCAAGTAAGTGTGAAAGGCAGCATCATGGTAAATAATTATAATGACTTCATTCACAAGCTACAAAGGAAACTGGAAATTGTTTTTTTTGTTGGTATTTACAAGAAACAGGGAAGAGAAGCTACCTGAACCCATGTAGAGTCTGAATTCAGGTGCACGCGATTTCAATCACAGCTTAGCCCACTTTTACTCTACCTTCCATATTGAGTCATGATCCCAGGAGGGAAGTAGGTTGTGTAGCAGCCCCCAGAGTACTGCTCCTCGCACCAGTTCTTCTCTTCATAATGTAATGGCTGCAAGGCAGAGTGACAAAAGCTTGAAGGAGACAGAGAAAGCTATCTGGTCTAGAATAAATCAAACATAGTCCAGTAGAATTCATCTTGGAAAACCTATATATTTCTGAAATAGTGCCTCATTATCCTAATGTTTTTGCAGATATGTCTTTGGGCAGGTAAGTGTCCTTGGCAATAAACTTCTAAGAAATTCAAACTTTAGAAAGTTTCCTCAGTTGGTTTATTCATGTTTTCAGCATCGTTCATAAGTTACAATTGTCTATGATCTTACCTATTATGGACTTTTTAGTGCCTAATTGTTTAAAAAAACATTTCAAAAATGATTTATGCTTACTAGAATGATTGGCCAGAACAAAAAGCAGAAAAACATGTCTGTCAAAGAAAAAGGATGATCAGATTCATGTTTTTTTTTTGTTTTTTGTTTTTTTTTTTTTTTGAGACAGAGTCTCGCTTTGTTGTCCAGGCTAGAGTGAGTGCCGTGGCGTCAGCCTAGCTCACAGCAACCTTAAACTCCTGGGCTCAAGCAATCCTTCTGCCTCAGCCTCCCGAGTAGCTGGGACTACAGGCATGAGCCACCATGCCCGGCTAATTTTTCCTATATATATTAGTTGGCCAATTAGTTTCTTTCTATTTATAGTAGAGACGGGGTCTCACTCTTGCTCAGGCTGGTTTTGAACTCCTGACCTTGAGCAATCCGCCCGCCTCGGCCTCCCAAGAGCTAGGATTACAGGCGTGAGCCACCGCGCCCGGCCCAGATTCATGTTTTTGGTGGAGGTGAGTTTTGTTAAGGGAAGCTGGACAAACGAATGTTTGTGGCATGTGGGCAGGTCTGTTGATGGTGGTACTTGTAAACAACTATAGGTCTGAAAAATGTTTTTGCCATGAATAGGCAAAACTTTAGCTAAGATTTTACAAGGCTCAAACTCTTTATTAAAGTAAGCAAACAGAAGCTTTATCATTATGCATTACTTTAAAAAGATACACTTGTACCCCCATAATACGCTAAAAATAAATAAATAAATAAAAAGTATTATTTTAGATCTCTAATTGTCTCTAAAATTGGAGAAATAATCTTCATTTAACTTTATTTCTTTGTTTTTTCTGAAGCAATTACAAATAAATTAATTTATAATTAAAAAAATAAAAAATAAAAAGGTAAAATCAACATAGCAAGTTTTAAGAGAAAAATGTTTGTTTAAAAATAGATTTTGAAAAATTGTTTTGTTTAAAAAAATTGTAATCACATAGCTGACTTTGGATAGTCATTTGTAAGGTATCCCATTTACAAAGTATGAGGCCCTGCCTGATATGTTAAGTGGCTCCAGGTCTTTTGTGGTGTCACCACGCTGTACATGCCAGCATCTGAGGGCTACATCCACCTCCTATGAGCATCTTTTTTGGCAATCTCCAGCCAATCAGAAGAAAGGCTGGACTTTATCTTTCCCCTTTTCTTACTCCTGGGAATTTCTTCCTTCCACACAATAGATACCAAAGCAAGAGCAAAGCAAGTGGCCCTCTCTATGCCAAGAGCAAACAAGGACAGGACCAACTCATTTTTATCACCAGGAATTAATCATCCACATTCCTCTTATAAAAAGAGACTTTCTCAAATGAAAGGAAAATTACCAACCTTTTTAGAAATATGAAAACCACTTTCCTCTCCCATTAAGGTTCCCAAACAACCATCACACAGGTTGTTGGGAACTTCAGTTACATACTACTTTAGCCTGAGATTTTCTCAAAATGTAACTTAAAAAAAATTTGAATGTCTACCAGGGTGAAATATCTTGAATAGCATTTTTAAACAAAAAAACTAATAATTTTTTAAACAGATGTTAAGTGATTTTTTTAGTGTGTATGTATTGAATTTTGGTTTTGCTACTTCAATTACTACCATTGAGCCTGGAGGCTATGCCTATATTTAAACTTGCTAAATGGTATATGAAAGCAAAAAATGAAACAAAGCACATTCCTCATTAATATCATGTCTCTCTCCAAATCAATCAATTAATTATTCTAGTTAATTTACTGAGAAAGAACTCCAAAAATCCTCAAGAGCATATGTTTCACCTATATCAAGTATAGACCATCTGTAATGGGGTGGGTGGGGGATCTTATTTTAAACTAGTGAACAAAAGAGACAAACTCAAAAGCCACAACAACTTGACCAGGAGGAAGCAAGCCACTCCAAAGCTGAGCAAGGTAAGTCTTAGAGTAATAGGATTAAGCCATGTAGCTATTCAACTAGATCATGGCATATACTGCAGAGATTTGGATTAAAGAGGCTTAGCAAATTAAACATTCTCAGCCCCCTCATTAGATTTTTCTCACACTTTAACTGCTCATTTGTACATTGGTTTTCCTTGTCTTCAAATGCTTCACAGATAACTGGATTTAATGATCACTTTCAAAAGGTGACATAATCCATGTGAAAACATTAAAAACCCAGCAGCCTAGTGAATGTCATGAGAATACCAATTCATCATTTTACATGTTGATGAGGGAGGTGGTTATGGCTACTTGTTATGAGTACCTTGAGGCCTCTGACTGTCACCAAATGTGCCCTACCCTGCCCCCATCCTGCTTTTAACCACCTAGGGGTTCTACTGGATTCCTTTGAATATCACCATTTCCTCAAGCTACTTCCAAAGGTATCTAGGAAACTCATAAGCTGTCTTCCTTCCATCCCTAATGTTCAAGGGTAAAACCAGGCCTAAAAGGAGACATGCAGGAGTGGGGGGCAGGTCATCCTATTTTTGCCTTCAAGACAATGGGGGTGGGGGTGGGGGTGGGTGTAGGTATATGTACATGAATGAGACTCTGGTCATTTTACAAGATCACCAGAGAAAAAGAAACCTCTTTTCATCCCTATCCTGGCTGCTAGCATCTAGGATTTCCTTACAGGTAGCAGAAGCTCCCCTCTTTTACCCATTGACAGAGCTGGGAGCAGAGTGGCTGAATGCCCTGCTCTAGGAAGAACTCTGAGTTCGGGGACAAGGTAGTACCACCTAAACCACAGCACATTGCAAGGCTCCTAACCTGCCATTAGCACAGTCACGGCCCATACATTCTGGGACCACTTATAAATGGACCAGCCCTGTGTGGACCCCTCTGCAAATATATCAGGGAAAACATTAGCTCTTGAGCCCTACTTGCATGAACCTATCCCTCCTAGCCCTTTGAGAACAAAGCAGATCTCTCTCTCTCTCTCTCTCTCTCTCTCTCTCTCTCTCTCTCTCTCTCTCTTAGAAAAGGGTTGGGAAGCAGCCTTACCTTCAGAGCTTCTTGGGAGCCCAGAACTTTTGCATAGAGCTCACAAAGTTTCTTCATCCTATTGGGAAAAAAATTGATAAAAGTGAAAATGAAGGAAGAAAGGAAAAGAAAAAGTGAAAGAGGCGTCCATCCCTTCATGAGCCATTGCTTCTCCTTTGATATTTTGTTTTAATTTTTTAAAACCAGGCATTTTATTCTATTTTGAATGTCTTAAAACTATGAGATCACAGATAGTCATCATGTGAAATTGCCGACAAATCCTTAAAAAAGTAAAGTGATGCATTACCTGAATTTTTATTTTATTTTTATTATTATTTTAAATCCAGGAGCTCTTTCTACAAACATAAGTGTATAAAAATATGTAATTTTCTCTCACTCCTTCTCTTCCTTTTCTGTCTCTCTGTCTCCATCTCTGCTTTTACATAAGTGAAATAATTTGGCACAAGCAGAGAAATGGCCACACAAAGCAAAGAAATAAAATTAAATTCAGAAATAGAACCAAATACATAAGGGAATTTAGAATTCATAAAGATAGACATTTTAAATGCATGAGGAAGACAGATTATCCAATAAAATGGCACTGGGACAAATGGCCTCCCATGAAAGAAATAAAGTTGGACTCCTACATTACTTCTTACACCAAAAAATATTTCAGAAGAATCAAAAATTTACATATAATAGATGAGACCATAAAATGGAAGAATGTGTGATTTAAAACAATTATCTTAGAATAGTAAAGTCTTTTCTATGCATAATAGACCATTCAGAAGCCATGATTTAGAAATGGATAAATTTGACCACATAAAAAGATAAAATTTTATTATAGTATAAAATGAATAAGAATAATGAAAAGAAAAACTGGGAAAAAATTTGTTCTAGGCACTGGAGATCCAGCAGTGAACTAATCAGACAAAACGTCCTACCTTCATGGATCTTATATTCTAGTAGGAACATTTTTAGGTGAGTGGCCCAGGCAGACCTCCATAGCCCTGGCCATGCACAAAGGTGCCACTGGTCACAGAGGAGCACTGTGAAGGAAGGGGAAAGAATGCTCCATAATGTAATTCACAGGCTCTTAGTTGGTAAATGTGTTATCAGTAATGGTGTGGCTATAAATAATTGGCAGTGATAAATACTAATGCCAGAAGAAATTGCTACCTCAGAGAAATTAGTCTCTCTGTACCTATAATCTATAATTATTATGCATCGCTCATGTAATATGTACTGCAGACTGCCTTGCAACACAGTCATTTGTCTACCTGGTTATCTCCTCCACAAGTAAATTTTCAGCCCATGGGTTATCCATTTTCATATTCTCTATAGCTCCTAGCATGGTGTCTTATATACAATAAACTCAATAAATATTAATTTGCATACTTGGTTCTTAAGTTATCAGCACTGTGCCTTTATATAACAAGATCCTTATAATTAACATAGTAGACATGGAACATTGGCAATACACATATTATTAAGTAGTCTGTAAGTTAAAAAGTTAAGTAAAATTGAAAGGCAGGCAAGTAGGATGAAAAGAAGGGAAAACGGAGGGAAGGGAGGGAGGACAAGGAAGGAAGGAAGGAAGGAGGGAAAGAAGAAGCACTTCTTTTGTTACCTTTCTTCTTTGGTGAGACGTGCCAGCCTTCTGGCTTTGTGGGCAAGGATAAATCTAAAACAAACAAACAAGAAAAGGGGGAGAAATTAATAGTTGCTTTCATTCGGCCTCATTTCTATTGCTCCACGTGTGCCCAGTGTACAATGTTAAAAGCCAACTAGAAGAAACAAATTATGTACTAGCTTGATTTATGTTCAAAGTTCTACTGTACATGTTACATTCCTGACACTGCAGAGCATCTTCTAGCTTCAAGGACTCAAGGGACTATAAAGAGATGACTGGCCATAATTTCTGCTTAGAGTAATACTATGGCTGACTCACTTCCCTCCACCTGGCTGGTGGCCAATAGGAATAAGCCTTGGGTCTCAAATGCCAACTTAAGGCCATGTCTGAGCACTCTCCAATTTTATCCAGTCCTTGCTCTTCGGTTCTATCTCTACCTTGGTGTTCTCTCCCTAGCACCCAAGAGTCTGTCTTCATTTCTAGCCCTACAATTGCTTTGGTTTCCCTGTTATGACACTTAGCTCTCTCTGAGATAAACTCATACATGTCTTAGGGCTCATCTTAATTTAGGCTGCTCCAGAAAACCACCTTTCTGAGTCAGGTTCTGGCCCATAAGATATTCCCGATCTGTGCTGGTCTTCCCTGGCAAACATTGATCAACTTATCCTTTCATGAAAGATTTCTCTGTAGCATGTAATCCTGCTTGAGAGCATTCTACCCACAATAGAACTTTTTTCAAAACAGGAGACAATCGTCTCAAACCCTGCTACTGCTTTATCAACTAAAGCTGGTCTTGGCTCTTCTCCAGTGGGACTCAGAAATCTCGGCATCCAAAACGATCAAGATGGCGGACGAGAAACACCGCCAGACAGAGTGTCTCTGCAGAAAAGACAGATTCTAGCAGAAATTAGAAAAAAGAAGCAAGAAGACGAGCATACAGCGGACGAGGGCCGGAATGAGGGGTACCTGAGACCCCGGGAAACTCCACGGGAGGAGGCTGCGGAAGAGAACTGGAGGCTGAGACCACCGGAGCAGCCAGGAGACCAGCGGCGAGGGTAGGTGGATTTGCTGTTTCCCCTCCCCTGCATTTGGGACTGCTGGTGGGCTCCCCAGCGGGTGGAGAGACCTGCGGACACCAGCCCAGAGACGGCCGCCGCCAGCCAGCGGTGAGCCTGTAGCAGACGTGGCACCAGCTCCCAACTCCTTCCCGGCACCTCCGTGTGCACAGACCCGAGCTGCGCGGCAGGCGCCATATTGCCTCCTCCTCACCTCCGCCAAATCTACCCGAGGCTGCCCAGAGAGACAATACAGCCACCAGCTGGAGGCACCTCTAGGGAACAGGACCTTCCCTTTTGGGACCCTACAGCTGACTCAGGGGAACTCAGACTGTGAGCTCCCTACCCGCCCATCCTCCCAGGTGCTGCTGGCACAGTGTTCCCAGGAGAACAGTGCCGACTCAGAGGCTGAGAGACATAGACCCAGCTTGGGCTCTCTCTGAGTGAATTGGGACCGGAACTCCTCTCCCTGGTGGGGATACAGTTTGAATTCTGGGACCCAGAGGTCGGACCTGCAGACCAGATCCCATGCACCGAGGTCTAGCATTGCCCGGGGCACAGAAGGGTTATACATGAACAGCCTACTGAGGTGTGTGTGCCTTCAGGGACAGATCAGCATCCTAGAGGGCAACCCTCCTCCCAAAAGGAGGAGGGTTGTACGCCCAGTCCAGGTGGCGTTCCTGTGCAGGGAACCTCCCTGCCGGCATCACAGTCTGGGGAGGCCTGGTGGCGTGTGGTCTGGCCTGCTGGCAGAGGCCCAGGAGTAGCTGCGGAGTTGGGGAGGGTGGAAAGAAGCGAGGCCCACTCCAGACTGCAGGTCTCAGACGGCCCGACCCCCACACCCAGACTTTCTGGCTGAGCGGGACCATTCCAGCCCCGCCCTGACAGCTTTTCCTGGAAGCAGAGAACAGAACTTTGACCCCTGCTAACGACATTGGTGGTGCCTGAGGGCAGGCTTTCCCAACCAGCTCCGCCCAGAACAAGAGCTGATAACAGGACACAAAATCAACAGCATAGCCTGTTACTCCAAGCAAGCGCCACCTACTGACAGGGATGACATCCTGCACAGCCTTTTCATGGCACCCACTGACTCATTATACAGGGAGTGGTCGAATCTCACCCACAGACACTACCTAACAGCTCAGAAACTAAACAAGGGTTGAAACCCAAACAAAAATAAAGGAAAGAAAAACAACTGATCGACATGGGAAGAAATCAGCGAAGGAACTCAGGAAATATGAAGAACCAAACGGAAAACACACCCCCAAAGAGGAGCACCAGCCCCCTAGAAATGGGCACCAACCCAAATCAGGCAACCAATATGACAGAAGAGGAATTTCGTATGTGGATCATAAGAACACTCACCGACCTGCAACAACAACTCAATAACCAACACAAAGAAACCACAAAAAGCCTCCAGGATATGGAACAAAGGTTCACTAAAGAGATCAACACAGTGAAGAAAACTTTAACCGAAGTCCTGGAGATAAAGAATCAACTCAGGGAATTAAAAAATACTGTGGAAAGTCTCAAGAACAGGGTAGATCAAACAGAAGAAAGAGATTGAAGATAACACCTCAGATAACAATCTCAGAGATTGAAGATAACACCTTCCAATTAAATAAATCAGTAACAGAGATAGAGCAGAGAAACAAGAGAAAAGAGGAAAGCCTACAAGAGCTGTGGGATTATGTGAAGAAACCTAACGTGAGGTCGTAGATTAGCAGGAAGGGAAGAAGACAACACTCAAGGGTGGACAAGCTTTTGAAGATTAAATAGAGGAAAATTTCCCAGGCCTTGCTCAAAATGCTGCGATAGTACAAGTTCAAAAAGCCCAGAAGACCCCTGAGGATCAATGCAAACAGGAAGCATCGAGTCCTTAGTATCAGACTGACGAAAAATATCAACTAAAGAGCCTTCTAAGAGCGGTAAGACGAAAGAAGCAAGGACATACAAGGAAGCCAATAAGAATACACCAGACTTCTCTAATGAGACTTACAAGCAAGGAGAGACTGGGGCCGCCATTCTCACCTCGAAACAAAACAATGCCCAGCCTAGAATCTTATTCCCTGCAAACTAACTTTCATATATGAAGAGAATAAAGCATTCTCAGACAACAAAGCTCAGAGAATTCACCAAGACAAGACCAGCCTACAAGAACTACTCAAAAACAGTGTTATGCATGAGCACCATAATAAAACTCACGAATATAAAACACCAAACCCAAAGATAAAGCCAGATGAATACAATGGCTCAAGGATAAATCAAACAACAACATCAGACACAACAGAATGATCAGTAATACTCTTACCTTTTCCAGTTCTTCCCCTCTCAATTAAATGTGAAGTGCTTAAATTCACTCAAGAGACAAGAGCTGCTGAATGATAAGAAAATAACAGGCCAAGTATATGCTTGCTTCAGAAACAATCTAAACCGCCAAGGATGCATATAGACTAAGTAAAAAGGTGGAATCAGTATTCCAGCAAGGGAAGCCAAAAGAAGGCTGCGTGGCAGTTTTTCTAAAATTCAGACCATAGTTTTTAAGCAAACAAGTAAGTGAAACAAAGAGGTTATTTATCATGGTGAAGGCACACTTTCAACAAAGAAGATATAACCAATTTAAATGTATATATGCACCCAACTTTAGGTGCACCAAGTCATTAATAGAAACCTTCTGGATCTAAGAAATGAGAATAATAGCAACTCCATAATCACGGAGATTCAACACCACGACGGCACAAAGCAGATCCTCCAAACAGAAAATAATAAAGAAATACGATGAACTTAACAAACCCTGAACAACTGGTTGACCTGACAGCTATAGACATTCTTACCCAAAATGCACTGAAATACGTTCTTCTCATCAGCTCATGGACATCTCTAAGATGACCATATTCTAGACACAGAAATCTCAGAATTAAAAAAAATAGAATATACCATGTACCTCCAGATCAAATGAATAAACTAGAAACAACCCTACAAAACCACATTCACACAAAAACGGAATAAACAACCCACTAAATGATTACTTCATAAATGAAAATCAAGATGAATAAAACGAATCTATGAAGCGAAAAGAGCAAGGAGAGGACAAAGTTCATCAACTCCTGCTTGGAATAGCTAAGCGTCTGAGAGGAAAGTTTATCTCCATAATGCTATAACCAAAAGACCAAGAGATCACAAACAGACATTCTAAGAACACTCAAAGAGCTGGAAAAAGAAGAACATACACCCAAACCAAGCAGAAGAAAGAATCAAGAAGATCAAATAAGAACTAAACGAAATTGAAACAGAAGCATCAGGAGTATAAACAAAAAGTTGGTTCTTGAAAAATTAAACAAAACTTGACACACCATGCTTGAAGCTAACGAAAGCAGAAAAGAGCAAAGTCTCTAATAGCTCCATCAGAATAAGAAAGGGATATCCACAACTGTCCCAAAGATACAAGATACATTTATGAATACTACAAAAATCCTTATGCACACAAACTGGAAAATGTGGAGGAAAAGACAAAATTTCCTAGTCAAACCACAACAGCTCCCTAGTCAGACAGGAAGACATAATTCCCTGAAACATACCATCTCAACAGCTGAAATAAAACACATTAAAAATCTCCCTAAAAAGAAAATCCCAGTCCAGATGGCTCACCCCGAATTTTACCATACTACAAAGAAGAAACTAGTACCTAGTCCTGAGAAACTATTCCCACAACATCGAGAAGAATGAAACCTCTCCGACATCTTCTATGAAGCGAAATTACTCTCGATACCAAACCAGGACAAGAGCAACTAAAAAAAGAAAACTACAGCACCAACTATCCCTAATGAATATAGATGCAAAAATAATTCAACACGATCTTTAGCTAACTGAAGCCAGACGCTTATCAAAAAAATAACCATCACGACCAAGTGGCTTCATCCAGGATGCAGGATGTTCAACGAGTACAAATCTATAAATGATTCACCCACACTAAACAGAAGCAAAAAACAAGACCACATGATTCTTCAATAGAGGCAGAAGAGAGCGCTTGTGACAGAGAGAGCGCAGAGAACGAGCGCGCGGATGGATACACAGCTAAGGAAATAGCATAGTAAGGGACAGTACGCGGAAATGGATAGCTAGCATATATGTGAGCAGAGCTCATGTCAAACATCAGAGGGCTGAGGATGAAAAATGGCAAAGTCAGTCGCCATGGAGAAGCGGACAGACAAGGGCGTCCCTGCCACTTATCTCCAGTGCTTCTAGTCGAACAGAGGGCTGAAGCTGCTACAGCAATCTGACAGGAAAATGAATTAAAGGTATCCAAATAGGCAGAAGAGATCAATCCTTCACTGTTGCTGAGGATGAGCTGAGAGGCGCGTAGTGTATCAGGAAGAGACCCCAACAGAGATTCAATCAAGAACCCGCGAACGAGATCAAGAAGGTTGAGTAAAGCGCTGCAGGATACAAAAAGCAATACACAGAAAGCAGAGGCTTCATATACGAACAACAATTATAATGAGAGGACCCAGAATCGAGAAGACTCAATGCCCTTCAGGCGCCAGATGAGCAGAGCAAGAAAGAAGATACCTAAGAAGTATCGGTAAGCAAGGATAAAGAGGACAGGAAAATCTATGAAACAGGAGGAAGGAAATAGCAGAAGAGAGACAGAGGGACGGAAGCCAAGCGCGCAGCTCGGGGGATCAAGACGAGCACACCGATCATCAAAATGTCGTGATACCTAGCCCAAACGGATCTACAGAGGGCAGCAATCCTATTAAGAACCAGCAGGAGCGCGAGGGTGGATATAGAAGGAAAAATAGTGCTCTTAGGAACCAAAGAAGACCCGATACGCAAGAGCAGATTCGAGCACAAAAACAAAAGGATGCTTAAGTGAGGCCAGGATAGGAAAACTGATACTACAAAGCGGTATAATTAATATCGGATCAATATGGTATGGGCAGCAAACGAATAGGAATAGTGACCAGAGATACGATGTGAGAAGCGTGAGTGAATAAACCTCCTCATATAGCATCGTATCTGGTGACAAAGAGAGCAAAAGACAGACGCTGGGGAAAGAATCCTTTTCAATAAAAGGGCTGGGAAACGGATAGCCACCTGGTAGAGGTAAAACAGACCCACAGCGTCAGGCCTCGCACAGAAATGCAGACTCATGGGCGGGGATAAGCAGACGGTGTAACACCTGAGGAGATGAAAACTATTAGGATGCTAGAGAGAAAGAGTTGGGAAAGCACTCTGCGCTAGACAGCAGCCTGGCAAAGAGTTATGAAGAAGTCCGCCAGGGAAGCGAATCAGCGGCGCGGCCGCGGGAGTAGCAACAGAATAAATAGATTGCGGACTGATCAACTGAGCAAAGCTTCTGCACAGCCAAAGAAATAGCATGAGAGTAAACAGGACAACCGTACAGAATGGGAGAAAAGTGTTTGCACCTATGAGTGCAACATACTAACTAGAAATACTAAACTCATGAAAATCAGAAGAAAAAATCAAATAAACCCATTAGAACCAAAAGTGGCAAAGGACGGTGAAAGAAACTCTTCAAAGAGACAGAAGAATGGCCAACAAAATAAGAAAAAACGCTCCATATCTCTAATCATCAGAGAAAGCAAATCAAAACCACAATGAGCATATCACTTAACCCCAGTGAGAAGGCTTTATCAAAAAGTCTGCCAAACACATAAATGCTGCGTGGATGCGGAGAGAGAGGAACACTCCTACCAGCTGCTGTGGGCACCCGCAAATGATTCAACCATCTTAGAAAAGCAATATGTGAGATACCTTAACAGCGATACAATGTGAATTACCATTTGATCCAGCATTCCATGCTGGGCATCACACCCAAAAAGATCAATGAACTCTAACAAAAAAGACCTGCCACTCCGAATGTTTATAACAGCCACGAATTCATAATTGTCACAAGCTGTAGAAACAGCCCAAGTGCCCATTCAAATCACAAGAATGATTAATAAAATGTAGCGTATCATGATCTCATGAGGTACTATCAGTCCTAAGAAACAATGGTGATCATAGCACATCTTATTTCTTTCCTGGTTAGAGCTGGACCCATACTATTTAAGTGAAATTTCCCAAAATGGAAACAACAGCACCACATATACTCACCAGCAAATGTATAACTGAACAGCACCTACAGTAGGTCACATAGGGTATACAGTATATAGGGTATTGGAGGTGGGAGGGAAGCGGGAGGGGCGTAATACATATATAATCGAGTAGGGAACACCATCTGGCGCGGATGGTCAGATGGAGGCCTCAGCGAGAACTTGTGGGAGGGGGAAAGGCCATTTTATTGAAACCCTGTAAGAATCGTGTACGCCCGACTATAATATGCCGAAATAAAAAAAAAAAAGAAAAGAAATTCGGCATCCCACATAAATAATGTTGATGCTGATATGGCCTCCACAAGAAGCCCTCATAGTTAAACACCCAAAGTTAGGTCTTTATATCATGCTTTCAACATAAGATGGCTCACCAAAATACATTTATCCCAAGCACTAAATCTGCAACAGAAAATTAATATTACAAATTTAAAAATTGTTATATTAATTGCTAGATACTTTCTTTCCAGATATTTATTCACTGGAAGGCATTATAAAAAAAAGAAGCAATAAGAATGTTTGTACTGCTGGATTTGGAGAATACTGCCATTGGGTAAAAAAAATCATTTAACAAAGTTTGGGTCACATTTATTAATAGTATGTGATTACCTTGTCAATGGTGAATAGCAGCCACAACACTATAATTATACCTTACCCCATTATAGCAGCATAGTTCCCATCAGGTTTGGTATCATCCAATGTGTAGGATATTGGAGCTTCCTCTCCTTCAATAATCATGGTTCCACAGTAATCTAGGAGAACAGCAAAATGAAAGAATATATTCATTACCCATAAACTACCCATTATTATCAAACTACCCATAGCAGTTATAATGGAGCACACACTTTTCAACTTGAGAAGTCCAAAGGCCAAATGTAGTACGGTACACTCTAAATATATGCAGACAAATCAAATTGATGTCATGAGAAGGGCTAAGTAGCCAACATTTTTAGGGAAAAAAAAATCAAACTGCAAGCCCTTTTCTGCAAAGAATAGAGCAATGTCGTATTACGAATTCATCCAGACCACCATTTAATGAAATCTAGTGTTCCTTGCAGTTAATACTTAGGCCCCCATTTCCTCTTCTGTAAGAAGTAAGAATAAAGCCAAAGATGTATAAATAAAATGCTAGTGTATTATTGTAAAATAGAAGGGACTGAACATTCACATTTTATGAGAAGCCATTTATTTTATTTTAAGTAGTTCTTTATTATTTGGAGACAGAGCAGAGAGGACGTGGATAACTAAAATCCAGAGTTCCAAACTCTCATGCCAAACATGAACTCCAAAGACTCTTTCCCCCTTCCAGAAAAACTTGGGAAACAATTTCAGCTTATTCTGGATAAAAGCGCTTTCCTCATTTCCCTCCTGAACAAAATACAGGCACACCTCAGCAATGTTGCAGGATCATCTCTAGACCACCACAATAAAGCGAATATCACAATAAAGTCACATGATTTTTTTTGTTTCCCAGTAGATACAAAAGTTATGTTTATACTATACTGTAGTTTATTAAGTTTCCAATAGTATTGTCTAAAAAATGTACATACATTAATTTTAAAACATTTTACTGCTAAAAAATGCTAATAATCATGTGAGCCTTTAGCAAGTCATAATCTTTTTTGCTGGTAGAGGATTTTGCCTCAATGCTGATGGCTGCTGACTGATCGGGGTGGCTGTGGCAATTTCTTAAAACAAGACAATAATAAATTTGGTGCATTAACTCTTCCTTTCATGAAAGATTTCTCTGTAGCATGTAATGCTGTTTGAGAGCATTCTACCCACAATAGAACTTCTTTCAAAATAGGAGACGATCCTCTCAAACCCTGCTACTGCTTTATTAACTAAGCTTATGCAATATTCTAAGTCTTTGTCATTTCAAAGGACAATGTGAACAATGGTCACAGCATCTTTATCAGGAGTAGATTCCATCTCAAGAAACCACCTTCTTTGCTCATTCATAAGAAGCAATCCACATCTGTTCAAGTTTTATCATGACATTGCAGCAATCCAGTCACATCTTCAGGCTCCACTTCTAACTCTAGTTCTTCTGCTATTTCCACCACATCTGCAGTTACTTCCTCCATTGAAGTCTTGAGCCCCTCCAACTCATCCCTGAGAGTTGGAATCAGCTTCTTCCAAAATCCTCTCAATATTGATATCTTGACCTCTTCCCAGGAATCAAAAATGTTCTTAATGGCATCTAGAATGGTAAATCCATTCCAGAAGGTTTTCACTTTACTTTGCCCAGATCCATTAAAAGAATCACTGTTTATGGCAGCTATATAGCTGTATGAAATGTATTTCTTAGACAGTAAGACTTGAAAGTCAAAATTACTCCTCGATCCATGGGCTGAGGAATGGATGTTATGTTAGCAGGCATGAAAACAACATTAATCTCCTTGTACATCAGAGCGCTTGGGTGACCAGGTACATTGCCAATGAGTAGCAATATTTTGAAAGGAATCTTTCTTTTCTGAGCAGATCTCAATAGTGAGTTTAAAATATTCGGTAAACAATGCTGTAAACAGCTGTCATCCAGGCGTTGTTGTTCCATTTATAGAGCACAGACAGAGTATATTTAGCATAATTCTTAGGGGCCCTGAGATTTTCAGAATGGTCAATGAGCACTGACTTCAACTTAAAGTCACCAGCTGCATTAGTCACCAACAAGACAGTCAACCTATCCTTTGAAGCTTTGAAACCAGGCATTGACTTCTCTCTAGCTATGAAAAGTCTTAGATGACATCTTGTTCCCATATAAGGTTGTTTTGTCTACATTGAAAACCTGTTGTTTAGCCCCCTTCAACTTGTTGCTCCTTCTGCATCAGCACTTGCTGCTTCACCTTGCACTTGTATGTTATGGAGATCGCTTCTTTCTTTAAATCTTATGAACCAACCCCTGCTGTCTTCTTCTGCAGCTTCCTCACCACTCACAGCCTTCGCAGAATTGAATAGAGCTAGGGCCTTGCTCTGGATGAGGCTTTGGTTTAAGGGAATGTTGTGGCTGCTTTGACCTCTGCAGACCACTAAAACTTTTTCCATGTCAGCAATAAGGTTGTTTCACTTTCTTATCATTCATGTGTTCACTGGGGTAGCACTTTTAATTTCCTTCAATAACTTTTCCTCTGCTTTCCCAATTGGTTGTTTAGCACAAGAGGCTTAGCTTTAAGCCTATCTTGGCTATCAACGTGCCTTCCTAAGCTTAATGATGTCTAGCTTTTGATTTAGACATGCGACTCTTCCGTTCACTTGAACATTTAAAGGCCACTGTAAGGTTATTAACTGGCCTAATTTCAATATTGTTGTGTCTCAGGGAATTAGGAGGCTCAGGGAGAGAGAGGGGGCAGGGGAAGCCTGTCAGTGAAGCAGTCAGAATGCTCAACATTTATCAATGACATTCACCATCTTATATGGGCTTGTGGTGCCCCAAAACAATTACAATAGTAACATCAAAGATCACTGGTCATAGATCACCATAACATATAATAAGAATGAAAAAAATTTGAAATATTGCAATATGTGACACAGAGATACAAAGTGAGCACATGCTGTTGGAAAAATGGAGCTGAGAAAATTGCTGGATGTAGGGTTGCCACAAACCTTCAATTTGTGTAAAAAAAACAGTATAAATGAAGCACAGTAAAACAAAGCATGCCTGTATATGCAATTTCAACAAAAAACTGTTAACAGAGCAATGGTGGAAATGTCAGGGCAGAGTCTGAAACGTTATAATAATGTCCTACTACAGTGTACTTTCCTCCTGCTGCTTCATTTACTTGCAAATGTGAGGCTGTTTCAACAAAATTATGGTGACAGACTCTGGAGCAAATGTATAGAAAAGCCAATGAGAAGGTTTCAAAATGATGAAGAAAGAACCTCCCCAACCTGTGTGCATACAAATGTGTGTGAACAGACACACCAGGAAGCTTTTAAAACTGCACGTGCTTCGCTCCTCCCATGTCCCTTCCCACTGTGAACCTATGAGAATCAATGTCACAGTCAACCACTGGCTTTGGGGTGTTTGCATGCCCCTCAGGTGTGCTGGGGCAGGAAAGATGTACAGAAAGACTGAATTATGGGAAGAAGAAATGTTTAAAGTTTGTCCAAGAGCTCACAAAGACTTAAGAATACAAGAGAACCAGCTAAGTCATCACCTGTTAGAAGAAGGCAAGAGAACAGACACAGGCCAGGCATGGTAGCTCACGCCTGTAATCCTAGCATTCTGGGAGGCCGAGGCGGGAGGATCACTCAAGGTCAGGAGTTCGAGACCAGCCTGAGCAAGAGCGAGACCCTGTCTCTACTATAAATAGAAAGAAATTAATTGGCCAACTAAAACTATATAGAAAATATTAGCCTGGCATGGTGGCGCATGCCTGTAGTCCCACCTACTCAGGAGGCTGAGGCAGAAGGATTGCTTGAGCTCAAGAGTTTGAGGTTACTGTGAGCTAGGCTGATGCCATGGCATGCTATCCTGAGTAACAGAGTGAGACTCTGTCTCAAAAATAAAAAAGGAGAGAAGAGACACACAGGACAAGATCTGCTCAAAGAGCAGGTGCATATTGATTATGTAGGTATTGCTGTATGGGATGAAGAGCTAGTATTAGTCATTAGGCTGGCCAGGGTGGAGGCACTGCATTCTGGGTGGAGGGGCTCCTTGGACATTTCCTTCCCAGAGTGAAGCTGGCTTCTGAGCCAGGGAGGTGACCTTGGTAGAAGTTAAGGAACAAGGAGCAGAGAGAAAAGTCAGGATCATGCCAGGACAAAATATGCAGCATCAGTGGGATTTCAATCACTTCCAGGTGAAAAGCTTAGGAGCCCCACCTATGCACACACAACATCCCATCAGCTTCATAGGGACTTTTTTCAAAAGAAGATAGACAAATAGCCAAGAAACATATGAAAATATGTTCAATATCACTAATCATCAAGGAAATGCAAATCAAAACCACAATGAGATACCACCTTATCCCTGTCAGAATGGCCATTATTAAAAAGTCAAAAGACAATAGATGTTGGTGTGGATGCAGTGAAAAGAGAACACTTATACCCTGTTGGTGGAATGTAAACTAGTACAGCCTCTGGAAAATAGTATGGAGATTTCTCAAAGAACTAAAAGTAGACCTACCATTCAATCCAGCAATCCCCAGTACTAGAAATCTACCCAAAGGAAAACAAGTCCTTTTATAAAAAAGACACCTGCACTTTAATGTTTATCGCATCACAATTCACAAATGGAAACACATGAATCAACCTAAGTGCCCATCAACTGAAGAGTGGATTCAGAAAATATATAACATGGAGTACTACTCAGCCATAAAAATGAGTGAAATAATGTCTTTTGCAGCAACTCGATGGAACCAGCAACCATTATCCTAAGGGAATTATCCCAGGAATGGAATAACAAACACCACATGTTCTCACTTATATGTGGGAGCTAAACAAGGAATGTATATGGCCATAGAGTGGTGTAATAGACAATGGAAACTAAGAAGGAGGGAGATTGGGAAGGAGGATGAGGGATAAAAATCTACCCATTGGGCACAATGTACACTATTCTGGTGATGGGCACACTAAAAGCACTGACTTCATTATTATGTAATTCATCCTCCCACCTCAGCCTCCGAAAGTGCTGGTATTACAGGTGTGAGCCACCAGGTCCAGCCTACAATCATTTTTTAAAGTCTTACCCAAGGCTCATTGCCAACAAGGACCAAGTCAGATCCAGCTTCTTCCTGAGAGTGGAGAACTTGGGTTTTCTTTTTGATACTAGTGACTAACAATTTGCTTGGCACATGGCACACCTAAAATCAAGGTTTGCAGACATGCATGGAAAGTTACAGATTCTCTCCACAAATAAAAGCATTCATAATCATTAAGAGAAGACTCTATATTCCTGATCCTAAACCCTATCTACTTGCCACCAGCCAGCCATCTAAAAATGGGTGACCTGGGTCACAAGAGGAAGCAACTCAGCACCAGTGTGCTGCTGCCACTAGATTTAAAGACTAAAATGACAGGGACCTTCATGGTAGGTCACTGCACTGTCTTTTGCAAAGAGTAGATTACTTGCACAACTGATGCACCAATCCAATAACAGTCTTAAACATGATCATCTGCAGTGTGAAGAATGAGGAGCCTGGCCAGGCATGGTGGCTCACGCCTGTAATCCTAGCACTCTGGGAGGCCGAGGCAGGGGGATTGCTCGAGGTCAGGAGTTCGAAACCAGCCTGAGTGAGACCCCGTCTCTACTATAAATAGAAAGAAATTAATTGGCTAACTAACATATATATATATATATATATATAAAATTAGCCGGGCATGGTGGTGCATGCCTGTAGTCCCAGCTACTTGGGAGGCTGAGGCAGTAGGATTGCTTGAGCCCAGGAGATTGAGGTTGCTGTGAACTAGGCTGATGCCAGGGCACTCACTCTAAGAGCCTGGGCAAAAAAAAAAAAAAAAAAAAAAAATGAGGAGCCTGTGATGTCGCTGAAAAAGGAATATAGGAATAAGTATATAGGAATAATCACCCTAAGGCCAAACTGTGGCACTTTCTCCATGTGCCTCCAGCCTATCCTTCTCCTTTCTGCAGTCTTGCTCCTCATTTCAATCTATTCTGCCCTTTGCCCTCACTCCCAGCTACTGATTGTTCTTACATGGTCTCCCATTGAAAGAAAAGTGGATGTGGTAAGAGCATATCGATAAGACTCTAGCATTGTGCTGTCCACATGTGGTTACTTACATTTACATTTAAAGCAATTAAAATTAAATAGGATATACACATACATAATGAGTGTGATGTGCACCATCTGGGGGATGGACATGCTTGAAACTCTGACTGGGGGGGGGGGAGCAAAGGCAACACACATAACCTAAACATTTGTACCCCCATAATATGTTAAAATTAAAAAAAACAGAAAAAAAATTAAATAGAATTTAAAAATCTGGTTCCTCAGTCTCACTAGCTACTTTCAAGTGTTCAATACCCACGTGTGGCCACTGGCTAACATATTAAACAGAGCAGCTCTAGAACATCCCATCATCGCAGAATTTAGCACTTCAGTGAGCATCCCTGTACGTTCTATTGGGTAAAGTAGCACACTTGTTGAATATGCATGAATAATAATTTAATTTAATATAGTAGAACCTTGACACTAATGAGAGATGGCCCAGAAATTTTCAGACTCCCTACCTTTGTGAATGTCTTTATAAATCCGTATTTGTAAAAACTGTATTAGAAAAAGGTTAATTACCTCTTCTTACAAGATATTCCAAGGAAAGTTAATTCCATAAGTTTGTGCCAATATTTTATTTGAATGAATTGTACTTTAGAACCTGGACTAACATTTTTTTTTTTACAGCATTCCAATAAAAACAGTTACATGAAAATGCATGTCTCAGCACCAAGTTTCTTGGACCTCTTCCTGAAAGTCTTTATATAAGTAAAGTACTCACCCTTTTTCCTCCAGAAGGGCTCTTTATAATAGACTATACACTTGATGACTGAACCCAAAGGCACACGAGTGATCAGCTGGTTTCTCATCATTGGCAGAGGGGGATTGAAGTGAATCTTCATGCCCAGAGTAGGAGGAATAGCACTAATCACATATTTAGCCTGAAAGAAAAGCAACATGGTTAAACATCGTTGGCCTGTTCTTTCTGTTTTTCCCTAATTATTCTGTCTCATTCTACCCTTGTCCCCTTTTAATCTCTCCTTAACAGAGAAGTCAGAAGGATTTTGTTATAACCCAAATTAGCCCTTATTTTTCCCTAGTTCAAAACCTCCAATGACATCCCATCACACTTGTAGTCAAAGCCAAGTTTCTCACAGTCCCCCCCAATCCCATCCATAAAATGAAGCCAGTACATCTCTGATCTACCTTCTGTTATGCTTCCCCTTCTGCCACTCTGACCACCTTGCTGTTCCCTGGTCATGCCATGCTTGCTCCCCACCCCAGGGCCTTGGCACTGGATGCTCTATCTACCTGGAATGCTCTTCCCCCAGAGAGCCGCATGACTCAATTCCTCATTGCCTTCAGTTCTCTTCTCAAATATCACCTTCTCAGCGAGGCCTTTCCTGACATCCTCATTTAAATTTCCATGACCAATCCTCCCACCCCCACCTTCTGATACACTCTCCCTTCCCTTCCCTGCTTGCTTTTGTCCACACTACTTATCACTATCTAACATACTTTTATATATATATATATATACATATATATATATATATATTTTTTTTTTTTTTTTTGGACGCAGAGTCTCACTCTGTTGCCCGGGCTAGAGTGCTGTCAGCCTAGCTCACAGCAACCTCAAACTCCTAGGCTCAAGCAATCCTTCTGCCTCAGCCTCCCAAGTAGCTGGGACTACAGGCATGTGCCACCATACGTGGTCAAATTTTTCTCTATATTTTTAGTTGGTCAATTACTTTGCTTCTATTTTCAGTAGAGATGGGTCTTGCTCTTGCTCAGGCTGGTTTCGAACTCCTGACCTTGAGCGATCCTCCTGCCTCAGCCTCCCAGAGTGCTAGGATTACAGGAGTGAACCACCTCGCCAGGCTGACATACTTTACATTTAACGATACATTTGATTATGGCCTTTCTCCTTCACTGGAAGGAGAATTGTATGAGGGCAGAGAATTGTATCTGTTTTATTCACTGCTGTGTCCCAACTCCTAGAATAATGTCAGGCACATAGGAGTTGCTTGATATTTATTAAATAAATATTTCTTCTGGTTTTTTAATTACATAAGCGCCCAATACAGAGGGTTGATAATACCTATAAATACTTTTGTAAATTCCCAGCCCCCAAATATTCTGGTTCTCTTTCCCATTCTTTTCGGATAGAGGTAGCTTTTTCACTTTTGGCAAAGGGACTGTCTAAGAATTCTGTGCTATTATTGGCTTTATTCAAGCTTTGGTTATCTATGGGACTCTGGCCTCTTCCCCATAGTTTAAGGGTCTTGCTTATTCTGAGCAGAAAAATAAAGTAAATTGCTTTTTTTATTCTCTCACTCAACAACAATCAACACAAGACTTTGGTGACCAAATGTGTGGGGGCTTTTCCCCACACACCAAGCAATTCTGCAGTGAACACCAGCTGGGTGTTCTCTAGTACAATTCAGACACTATCTACCTGTAGATAGTGTCACATCCCACAGGTTGAGGGCTCAGTTCCACAACTGTCTCCACTTCAGACACGAGCCATAAGTCTGGGCTTCAAGAACTTCTAACCAACTGGTTTCAAGTTGGGGTTCCCAAAATTCCCTCTTTGGGTTCCATTAATTTACTAGGGCAGCTCACAGAACTGAGGGAAACACATTTACTGGTTTACTATAGAGGACACAACAAAGGATACAGATGAAGTGAGGCATAGGGTGAGGTGTAGGGGAAGGAGTGTAGAGCTTCCAAGCCTTCCCTGAGGCAGCAACCTCCAAGAACCTCCCAGTCTTCAGCTACCAGGATGGGATGCTCTCCAAACCCAGTCCTTTTGGGTTTTATGGAGGCTTCATTACATAGGCATAATTGATTAAACCACTAGCCACTGATGATCAACTCAACCTTCAGCCCCTCTGCCTTTCCTAGAGGTTGGGAGTTGGGGCTGAAAGTCTGAGCCCTTTAATCCTGCCTGTGTCTTTCAGTGACCAGCCCCTATCCTAAAGTTGCCTAGGGGCTGCCAGCCATCAGTCATCATTAGCATACAAAGAACATCACTTTAGAGATTCTAGGGTTTCAAGAGTTGTTTACCAGGAAACTGGGGCAAAGAGCAAATCTATATTTCACAATTACACAGTTACCTCATATATCTCATGGTTTAGGGTCTTCACAAGGACATTTTCTCCTGTGTGGTCAATGCTGATCACAGGCCTCTCCAGCTTCACTCGGTCCCCTAGAAGCTCCATGATCCGCTCGCTCACTTGACCAGATCCACCCACAAATTTCCTCTCCTGGAAAGCAAAAAGATGGATTCAAGAGGTGAGTGGGAAATACAGGAATAGACATGAATTGCTAAATTGCTAGTTTTCCTCACATATCCTTATCCCGAGATGTAAAACATCTCATTTCCTGCTATGAATATAGTATTTCCTAACTAGGTCTTCTTCTCCTTCTTCTTCCTGAACCTATTGGAAATAGTCTTTTAAAAATTTACTGAACTGAAAATTGGGGAGGAGGCAGTCAGCTCAGCTGTGTGAAAATTACAGCTCACCATTGTTTCTTAACTAGGAATTGCTGGTTTGGGACAAAATTGCAGGTCACCTTCTAGGCTATTCTCTTGTAGATTCCCAGGCTCTAACCTCAGCTGGACATCTTTAGAATGACCCCCAGGTCTCACCTGTCTGGTCACCATCCTTGCTCTATGTTCCATCGGCATTCTGTTGTCAAGATGCTAGACCTGGTGAAGCTCTTCCTAAAGCTCTGCTTGTCAGAGCAAGGATAAGCCTGTAGTTCCCTGCCTTGAGACACAGGCTCAGAACCTCCCAGCCTCCCATCACGCCCCCTAGCCCCAGGTAGCCTACTCCCTGTTGCTGGTTGCCAGTCTCATCCTGGGTCTGGTGTCTGGTGCTTCTGTGGTCACCAAGGTCATTTCACCTCACTGTACCCACCTATCCTGAGCTCTGATATAGCTTGCAAATGTTCTACCTGGGGTTGTGCACACAGCTGAGCTGACTGCCTCCTCGATTTTCAGTTCAGTTACTTTTTAAAAAGACTATTTCAAATAGGTCCAGGAAGAAGAAGAAGAGGAGGAAGAGAAGGAGAAAAAGGAGGGAGAGAAAGAGGGAAAGAGGGGAAGGAGGAAGAAAGGAACATGACAACCAAGCAGATTATCTAAGAACTCTAGTCCCCTTCCTACTGTGACTGGCACAGTGCCTTATACAATGCTGGGGCTCAGGAAATAGGCACTGAATGAATGAATGAATGAATTTCCCATGTGTTGTGTGTTTTAAATTGAAAATGCATTTCTGACTTTCCCTTTTGAGCTTTCCAAGAAGTGCTCAAGCTATGTTCATCAGATGGTCTCTTACAAACTTACCTAATAATAATCAGATATATATCCACGTGGAAAATGGTGACAGTACATAGAAACAAGCCTAGTTTTAAAACTACATTGGCCACTGGATTCTCACACTGAGTACCTAAGAACAAAGCTATGTCTTACAAAAGCCACTTTGAGCTGCCATGATAAAGCTTTAAAAACCATAAGCCTTCCTCCTGCTTCAGTAGCTCATGATTGCAGGACAATGCCAACATTTCATTTTGGTAATGGTGGTTTTCTGCTGGGACAGAGAAGTGGATGGGTACCTGCCCTCCATTGGTTGTTGAGATAATTCTGGTTGTGCCTCCACATTGTTTCACGTACCACAGGAACCAGAGAGCGGAGACCTCGTGGGTCTCCGCAGTGACACACAGGTTCACAAAGAGAGTGGCAAGCTGCTTTGCAGACCTGCTCAGGAAGAAACAAGAGCAGAATTGGCAAATGCAGGAGAGAATCTTCTTAATTCTCTAGAAATTATTCAAATAATACAATTTCTTGGCAGCGTTTAGCACAAGTTGGCAAGTAACTGAAAATTGTCACTAGAATCTGATATTATAAAACAGAACATTAGAGATTTTGAAAATATCAGAGTTATTTTCCCCTTAAACAAAACACCTTACTCAGAATTGGTTTCTATTCCATATTCTGTGCTGTCATGATTCCTCCCCACACACCTGTTGCTCTTCCACTGATCCCCAGCTCAGTAAAAGCCAACACTATTTACTCAATGGCTAAAGCCAACACTTTAGAAATTGAACTTAATTTCTCTCTTTCCATCACCCTCTTTCCATCAATAACGAATTCCCGTTGTTTCTCACCATACCACATAACTCCACCATCATCACCACCAACTAGCATCATCTCTTGCCAGGAGTACTGCAATTAGTGGCCTGCTGCCTCCACTCTTTCTCACCTGGTATCTATTCACCACACTCAAAGCCAAATGCTTTTTACCTCCCTCCCCACCATGGTGCTCCTTCTAAAGTATAAATCAAGTCATGCCATTTTCTTGCTTAAAACCCTCTAGTAGCATCCCATCAAAACAAGAATGAGATTCAGATCTTTCACTGTGGTTTCCAAAGCCCTAAGTGATGTAGCCCACACTTACCTTTCCTATCTCATCTTGTACCCTCTTCTACTCACTCTAATGCTTCCTCAGAAAAATACACTCTATTTCAGCTATAAAAATGAGCACTGGCTTCCATATTCCCAGCACTCTGGCATTCTCTGTCATTTTCCCATTGCATAGTATCTTTAGAATACTTTTTGCTATTTGAAATTATCTTGATTCTTGGTTTATTATTTTTGTATTGCTGCATTCCCCACTAGAATATCAACTTATGAGAACAAGGACTTACCTTTCTCACCTACCATAGTGGCCCCTATAACAAAATAGTGCCTAGCACATAGTCAGCACTCAATAATTATTTGTTGAATAATTGAATGACTGACTAAAGATGAGAAATATCAATTAAACATTATTTTTAAAACATCCATAATGTATAAAGGATATGCTAGTGCTGTACCAAACACAAAACTAGTCATAGTCATCTATTCAGTTATTTTACTGCCTAATGGAAGGCAAGCTCAAAGGATGGATTAGGGGGAAAATGATTAATAGAGTACGGATGGGCGAACTTTTGCTTGGGGTTTGCAGGTAAATGGCAAGAGGTTATATCCTATCAGGAGGCACACCAGAAAGTGAACAATGTCATGCAATTCCAAGGACCCAGTTATATCTAGAGGGTGCCCTAAAATTTACCAGTAGTGATGTGTACTCCAGGATATTTTTAATAAGGACAAATCTCCCTTTTAACTTTGACATGAAGATTGCATATTGTTAATCTGGTTACTTCTGAGGCAGAATTTTCCCCCGGTAGTGCTGACAATGACTGGAATAAATGATACCGTCCTCCATTTATTGAACTCTTTTCACACTCCATGGCCTTTAAACTTATCTTGTTGAATTGTCATAATAACCCTATGAAATAGTCATTCTTTTTGTCGAGTTCACAAGCTAGAAAACTGAGTCTCAGTGAGTTTAGTAATACTCAATGGTACAACTTCAAACCAGATTATATCTGACTCAAATTTATGCTTTTAATACTTCAAAATGTTTTATAATTTGTCAGCTGACAGCCTGAAAAGTGCAAATATTCACCAAGAGGCATATCGCTACTCTAGTATAACTTGATCCTGGAAATTTGTAGAATCATGCCTAACACACTTACCAGTTATTTACATTGTTTGAAGCCATAACCACCTGACAGCACTTTTGTGACAGTCCTCATCATTACAGCCTACAAAATGGTGTCATATATACAGTGAAGTAACTTGGAGTTAGCTTTGTAAGATTACTTATGATAACTAAAGACATAGAAACTGCTAACTCATGCCTTCCTTACAGAGGCAATTTCTGATATCTATCTAAAGCAAATATCCGGACATCAGTTTAAAATACTACTTCAAAGTGAAAACATCCTTTGCTGTTTCTTGATATCCTATTTCTTTTGTTCTTTATTTTATAGGTGAATTTAAGAGCATAAGGTAAAAGGAGTAATAAATAACTAAAACTGAACATTGGTCCAGCTAGATGGCTGATATTAAACATTAAAATATCGCTGCAATTCTAGTTGTTATTGTTGCCAATTTGGTAGGAAAGAAATAATCCTAGTTTGAAATGAAGGGAGATCTAAAAGTAGTTCTCTCTGAAGGGCCCGTCCATTCCTAATCCTTTATTTGATTTACTCTGGGATCTTCAGTAAGAAAAGAAATGAGAAGAACAATATTTGAGGGACGGAAGGTCAAGGAAGTTAGTGTAATAATATTTCTGTATTTTTTTGCCCCGTTGACTTTTTAAAAGATAAATGTTATAACATTTTTCTACATGAAAAATATATGCACATTTATATAAAATTTGGAAAATTCATAAGATAAAAAGGTGAAAGAATTAGTATGTTCTACATTTCTGCCCCCCAAAAGGATAATCACTAATCTCATTTTGATACATTTTTTTTCTAGGTATAGGTTTTTTAAAAAAATGTATTTACATAGCTGTGGTCACACTGGAAATATAATTTGTTTTTCTGAGGAGCACTTTATAAATGACAGTAACTGAAAGAATGATCAACATTAGTCTTCGAATGTATTAATATAATTAGGCTTTAGTTTGAATAACAATAGGTTGGATATTCTGGGGATGACTTCCTTTAAAACCAGGAAATGATACTGTATGTATCTTGCTTAGGAAAAATTAGAAAGTTATCTTGTGTTTGTATTCTCCTAATATCTCAGAATGTGTTGTTTTGTCAGACAACAACCTAGATTATTCACTAAGTGGAGGACTAGGCCAAGGGCCATGATAGAAAATATCAGATCTCTAGGATCCCAAAGATATATAATTGGTCTTATGTTTAAGAAGCTTAAAAGCTCTCTGGGCAGAAAAGATCTAACTGAATTTATTAGAAGCTTTTCATAACATAAGTTATAAAACAAATGCAGATAATTATAGATTCACTATTTTTGAAAATCTGAAGTATAGAATTTAAAAATAAACACTATAATTTTGTTACAACCAAAATAAGTTATATTGCAAACTACATTCTCATAAGAATTGTTAAATAGCATTAGATAAATGTTGAAAAGGATATCATTCATAATATGCATGGATTTTTATGACATAAGAGGATTTTACTATTTTATCACTAGTTGCTTTCAACAGTTTAAGACATAAGAGAAGCACAAAGATGTTTAGTATAGGCTGGGAGCAGTGGTTCATGCCTGTAATCCTAGCACTCTGGGAGGCTGAAGCAGGAGGATTGCTTGAGCTCAGGAGTTTGAGACTAGCCTGAGTAAGAGAACAGCTAAATAGAAAAAAATTAGCTGAGCATAGTGGTGCAGCTACTTGGGAGGCTGAGGCAGAAGGATTGCTGGAGCCCAGGAGTTTGAGGTTGCTGTGAGCTAGGCTGATGCCATGGCACTCTAGCCCAGGCAACAGAGTAAGACTCTGTCTCAAAAAAAAAAAAAAAAAGATGTTTATTACAGAGTATTATATAATAATAATAATGAAAAACTGGAGGTAACCAAAATGTCCAACAGGATTATAATGGATAAATACATTATGGTATTCATTTTCCATGGAATATTCTGCAACCATAAAATATGATATTTAAAGAAGAGTTTTTAATGATGTAATATCTTTAAACATTTTAAAAATAAATATTTGCATGGTCATATCAAATGTTAAAAACATTTTGATGGATGTCCATTGCTTTTGCAGTGCATATATAAACCATTTTTTTTAGAAATGAGATCATATATCACACTGTATATAATTCATGACAGCCTGCTGTTCTGTGTATTTAGTAGTACTATTTTTTCAAGCCATTAAATATTCCTATATGACATGATTTTAAAAGACTCTAGAGTATTCCATTTTTCAGATGTCCCATACTTAGTTTAGCCAATCATCTATTATTAGACATTTAGATTTTCTCTTTTAAAAATAATTGTTTCAATGTGCCTCTCTCACTCTCTCTCCCTTCATGTATGCCTCTCTCTCTCTTCTTTTCAATTGCCTTCTTTAAGATAAGTTCTAAGAAGCTGAAATTCTATATCAAGAAGTATATAGATGTTAGGTCTTTTGATTGTTCCTACTTTTAGATTCAGATATGTCTAAACACTTGTTTTTACTTTCAGTTGGCAGTGTCCCAGCTCCCCTCCCTAGTGTCTAGAGCATGAAGACAACAATACCAGGGCCGAACACATTCCCAGCTAACGCTGTTTAACATGAGAGGAGAGTTTCCTTGAACATGGCTTCCATTTCTCTTACTTTGTTTACTATACATTTGCCATGTGCTTGAATTGGAACCCCTATAATCCTTTCCATTTTCCCTGCTGTCCAAGAGCAGTGTGGCCTTTCCATGTGCTCTGTCTACACAGCCTTCCCAATTTCCGTACAGTTCTCAGTTCTGCCAACAAGAATTGAATGCTTAACACGTAAATACTTGCTTCCAACACCACATCTTTTTCACTTAAGGGGAGTAGTCAGTCCATGCATACATATTTCCCTTATCATAAGGGGAATGTCTCTAGAAGCTCCTCATTAAATTCTTAAAGAGTCGCACTACATCACATAGGGTAGGTGCATGCTAACCATCTCCATATATGACCACCAGTGAGGAATACAAAAGTAGTCCTATATCAACAACTTGATAAGTGAGATCTTTAAGCTTATGGTCTTTAAGCTGTTCTGGGTAAGGGAAGTGACACATTCTGGTCTGTTTTGAGGACACTATGGGGTAACATCACCTTTGTGATGCAAAACTGTTTTAAAGAAGTTGGATGTATAGACATCTTTAGTATAGGAGCCAGTTCCAATATTTTTTAGCATTCCACTTGGCCAGTGGCATGGTTTTAGACACAAAGCAACTACTTGTCCCATACCTGTTGAATGGTATTGCTAAATAAACCTAAAAGATGTTCACAGGAAATTCCTGTGCCTAATGGTGAGTCTTACTTAGTCCAGCAGATCTTGTCCAGCAGCTCCTTCATGGTCATGTGGTCCCATTCTTCTGCAAGAGGCGCCTTCCATGGGGCATCACTAGGAATCTGCATTCAGAGGGGTATTTGAAGGAGAAAGACATATGTAATTTTTCCATTTTAAATAACTATTCAAATAGTGTTAAAAACTCTAACTTGAAGAAAATTCCCCCAATAGTTATTTTTACTGCATAATCAATGCTATCTGTGTCGCTTTCCTATTATAAATCTATACCACTTAAGCTGTACTTAATTTATAACACTTCCTGCACAATAAATGGAAGTATGTTGTAATTGGGCTATTTCCAAATATTGATTACTAAGTTACTAACTTCTAAAGAACATTCATAAAGTCAACTTTTTTACAAGGATCAGGCGGCTGCATGCAATCATGTCCAAATTGGAGTTTTCAGTTAAGCTTTGTGTATGTTTACTTATGAGCTGCAAGTTTGAGCATGGTGGTGAATCAAAGACCTAGAAGTCTTACTTTTCTATGTCTTGAGGTCTTTCTAAATTAGAAACATCATCCCAAGAAGGTTGAGTGATTACATGAATTTTTGCCCCGTCATCAGCAGTGTACAAATAGCAATCAGTTTGACATTTCATTCTTTTAGAGGTTAGAAACAAACTCTTCATTCACTCATTTCACAAATCTTTACTATTTACTAATAATTGTTACCATGTGCTTGACAATATGCTAGGCACTGGTGATGTGTTGTACCTTCTTTCTTTTTAGGACTAAACTTATTATGAAAAATACAAATGTAGTCAAAGAAGCTTCAGGAAGCTTTACCTCCTGCCCCATGTCATCCATTGTCCTCCAAAGGTTGTTATGATCTAGGTAGACAATTGGATTCCACACAGGTGGGAATGGGCCCCTGAAGGGGTATGATTTGCCCTGTGAGATAAAAGATATATTAAAGAGTAAACATTTACAACAATGTTAAAGTAGTTAAATCTGCCAAGTTGGTAAATGTCTGCAAGCAAAATCATGTTAGTTATCAATATGTGATATACTTATCAATATGTGGTATGCATTCAAGCTTCTTGTGTCCTCAGAACCCTACTTAACTTTTAAGCATAGAGATTTCCAGTAAAATTCTCTGTTAAATAAATAAGTTTAGCATCACATCAAACACAGTAAAGATCTCTCTCTCTCTCTCTCTCTCTGAAATTGGAGCCCTTACCATGTAAAATCTAAATGCCAGTACAGAAATGCAGTTACCTAAAGTAATCTCATGTGCCAATGATACTTGCAAATTCCTCAGAATCAGGAGCCCCTGTGTGCCTGGAGGGTCAGAAAATGATAACATTCAAAAACTACAAACATTGTACAAGTTAGAAGAGGATGAAAAACCAATCACAAGAATACAACTATCCACAGAAAGAGTGACAAAACAGGGCCCAGCAAGCTTTCCCAATGACACAGATGTGCTAGGTCAACACAGGAGTTCCCAGAGATCAGGAAAGCCAGAGCAGGAAGATGAGACAACTTCAAGCCTCTTGTCCAGACATGTTCACACCACCTGGCACTCCCTGCAGGGACACCTTGACAGAGAGATAAAGGAAACACATGTCTCCAAGGATTAAAAATAGGACAGCCCACAAATCATCTCTGGGAGGCTTAACTTGCAGGGGGGCAGTTAAGGGACATACACAAAAAACATTTTAGGTCAATTTGAAAACCTGAGTCAGAAGCCAAGCTGTGCATTCTGACAGTATCTTTCAACAGAATCGGAATAACTCAAGATTCTCAGTCAAGCAAAAATCTCACAATAACTCTAAATCATTCAACCAAGATGCATTTTGTGTTGATATTGTAGGCAGAGTAACTAGAGTTGCAAAATGAGAAGAGATTTCATGTTTGTTTTTGCATTAATTCTGTGGCCATGTTGGTCTTTTTTCTCCAACAAAGCTGTAAGAGTCTCAGGGAAGAGTTGAGACACAGGCTTACTTTTCTTCCAGTGAGTTCTCTAGAGAGACAGAACCAAGGGGGGGAATATATATATATAGTATATATATATATAAAGAGAGAAGAGAGAAGAGAGAGAGAGGGGGAGGATGGGAGGGAGGGAGGAGATGAAGGATTCAGATTTATTTTAAGGAATTAGTTTATGTGGTTGAGGAGTCTGGCAAGTTCAAAATCTGCAAGATAGACTGGAGACCCAGGGAAGAGTTGCAGTTCAACTTCAAAGGCGCTCTGCTGGCAGAATATCCCCTTCTCCTGGGGAGGTCGGTCTTTTTCTATCAAGGCCTTCAACTGATTGGATGAGGCCCATGCACATCATGGGGGGTAATCTACTTTACTCAAAGTCTACTGACTTATATTAATATGTTAACCTCATCTAAAAATATCTTCATTGAATAATGTCTGACCAAATACCTAAGTTACCATGGCTTATCCAAGTTGAAACATAAAATTAACCATCACAGTTCTTAGTCAACTTTATTGAGGTATAACTGACCTACAATGTACCCAGTTTAGTTTAGCTTAGTTTTCTTTACTTGTTTCTTATAGTTAAAACTTTTTTTAAAGTTTTAACTGACATAAAAATTGTATATATTTATCATGTTCAACACGTTGTTTTGAAATATATATAGTCTTTAGGTAGTCTTCTTAGTGTCCCAAAGCTCTCTATTTCTTTTATCTGCCACTAACTCCACTGCTCAATCTTCATGCATTTATCATTCTGTGTCACTCATTGGGCTCTAAGCTGCAAGAGCATGGGCTCTGGAGCCAGCCTGCCTGGGTCAAGTCATGGCTCTGCCACTCACCAGCTGTGTTAAGTTGCTTTAACCTTTCTGTGCTTCAGTTAACTCAACTGGGAAATGTGACAACAGTAACTAACTCAGGGACATATTGGGAAGATGAAGTGAGTTGACCCATGTAACTCACTTTGAACAGTGGCTGGAATGTTGTAAGTTCTCAATAAATGTCATTGCTAATACTAGAGCTGCTACTATTGTAATTATAATCTTTGTATGCCTAGGACCTGCTGGTATAGATTGCTGGCACACAGTAAGTTCATAATTCATTTTTGGTATCATCTCAGCTGTGTGAACTTGCACTAGTTATTTATTTAACACAGAGTGTCCTGATTTCTAAACTGATCTTTTGTGCTTTGGTTTCCTATGCCATTATTAACCCCCTTGTTTTTAAGTCTCCCATTGAACCCAAACCCACTGTGGCCTCTGCAGATCCCCACTAGCAGAGTAGCATCAACCCCTGTCCCCCTTCCTGCCCAACACATATGCACTTATACAAAGGGGATAGGAGATGGAACTTAAATAGCAAATAACCAAGTCAAACCACCCACTGAAAACAGTGTGTATCTACGACTGGCATACAAAGTCATCTCCCTGGACTCAGCATGCCATTGTGTCTACAGGTAAAGGGGACCAGAAAGTGACAAAGCCACAAGCAGATTTAATAGCCACCCCTTAAAAGAGAAGGAAAGTACATTTTTGTTTGAAAATCCTTAGGACAAAAATGGAGGGGAAGAAAACTGGTACTCATCCAAACAACTAAATTATTTAGGGTTTTTTGTTTGTTTTCACAAACATGTTGGTTCTGCCAGACATCACCACCAGATGACTCATGCTCCTTTTACTTAAGTAAGTAAAAGGAGTATGAGTCCAGCAGATTTGGTTAATTAGTATCTGTTCTGCCACTGCCAGGGTCTGCACCCACAACCATGGCAGTTTCTAGAAGCATAAAGACAATGGTTTCAGAAAGTGAGAAATCCAGTCTGATTCATTGGCTTGGCCTAGGAAACGGTGAAGGACAGATTTTGGGTGAGAGCAGAGTTAACTGACAAACCATGACCTGTAGGTGGAGCCCCACCCCAAAACAGCATCCTGCACCTCCTTCTATGTTAACTTTCCATTCAGGACCCATGACATGGACATCTTTCCATCATCCCTTCCTTCTTTCCCCAAAGATAACATCTTTGCACAGTACATGTCATGTGAAAGCCACGTGATAGGGATAGAAGGGAGTCCCTTCCAAGACTCCACTTGACAGATCTCAGCCCAGTAGCCCAGTTGAAAAGTCACGTTAGCTGAAGTGTAGGGGCTCTCATTCCATGAGGTCCGAAACACATCGGGGACTTCTCAAATAGCAATCATTCCAGCAATGCAGTGGAGATAAAGACCAGCTTCTAAAGCCCTCCTGATTCAGGAATACTCTTAGAAAGGAGGTGTGTTTGGAACTCTAAAACCAAAAACAGAGTGAGAAGTGACCACTGCAAATGACTCTGTGTGAGTAAATGGTAACCAAACAATATGTAAAGAGCACTATGATAAAATAGAATAAAACACTTTACCTTTTATGTACTCATTTATTAACAGTCCTCAGTGTCTTAGATCTAAGCAGGTAACAGATTAACTTAGCTAAATTTATAAAAACAAGTATTCATTTATAAAATCAGGGAAAACTGATAAACACAGGAAAGAGCTATTGTTAGACTCATAAAAAAATCTCAAATATTCAAGCTTCAGGGAATAAGTAGGGTAGAGAGGAAATGTCTAAGTTTAAAAGATTACACAACCAAAGGCACAGCAAGAGTTTTGTGCCTCTGATTTGGCCATGGTAAAAACAGTCTTGTGTTTGTTGCTGTTTTGAACATTGTCCAGGGAAGCCTGTCTTTCTGAAGAAATCATGAGAAGAAATCAGAACAAGCCCTCAGCTCAGGATGTGCCCAAGTTACAAAGTCTAATTACATACAGCATTTTTGTTTTACTCTCACAGCAGCCCTGTGAGCTAGGCCCAGCAGAAATTATTTCTTTCTTTTATAGGTAAAGAAAATAAAGCTCAGATAAGTTTAAATGATTAGTTTGAGATCTCCCAGCTCATGAGTGGAAGCTATTTAAAGTTCCATTTAATTTACAGTTACTGCCATGGTCAAGAGTGTGTGCAGAGTGGGGGGATGGGGAATGCCTGGCAATCATTAGGAATCATCCATTCATTAGCCACTACATATATATTGGTGGCTAATAACAAAATCCCTATGATACAAATTAAGTGTCAGTAGCAAGCACCAAGAGGAAGAGATATCACCATAGGGATTCAAGAGCAAGGCTCACTGTTCTCTGGGCTCCCTAGAAGGAACTGTAAAGTGGACTTAGGGACAAACAGATGATAGGAGTCCAAAGCAGCCCCAGTCTCTTTAGGAGACACTTCAGGGTGGGTGGGTACTTAGGGAAGGATAAGACACGGCTGAAAGGCATGCATCCCTACTGGTGGTGAGAAAGCAAGCCAGGAGCTATGCTTGATGGGAATGTCATGCACACATGTGTGTGTGTGCATGTATATGCATGCATGTGGAAATTCTAGATGACAACAACAAAAAACTACAAAGGATAAGCATTCATAATCCCACCAAGTGAAAATCCATCCTGATTACTAACATCTCAGAATGTTTCTTTCATCTTTTTATTCATATTTATACATTTTACACTTGAGGTCTTGTACAGGCAATTATTGTCCTGCCAACTTTCAGTCAATGTTATATCCTAAATATTTCCAATGTCATTCATCTACTCTTGTTAAGCATACTTTTCTTGATTATTATGTAATATTCCATGATATGCAGAGACCAGCACTTCTCAACTGTGGCTCGGGGACCCATTAGGGTTCCCAAAACATATTCAGGGAATATTTGAGGGTTTCTGTTTTCAGCTACATATCTATGTGAGGGAAGATTTTCTTCATATATTTCAACCAAAACAACATCTTGCAGCAGATTGAATGGTGAAGCAGATATAAGAATCCAGCTGTTTTCTATCAAGCCAGATGTGAAAAAGATAAGCAAAAATGTAAATCAATGCCACTCACTATTTTTGCTTTACAAACTAGTTTTTTTCATAAAAATGTGTTATGTTAACTTGTAATAGAGT